TATTTAATTCTTGAACTCATCATAGTTTCAAACTAACAATAAGAAACATAAAATTTCTCTGGGTTATCCATGCTCAAACCTCATAGTCAAACCGATCCAAAACCAGCAGCCTCCTTTGGGTCCAGAAGCTTAGCAGTGATCAGACATGGAATGTTCCAGAAGTAGCCCACAAAGGAAACTGTTCCAGTGACTGTGGGGAAGTTTTGCCTTGAGATGAGCAATCAGTGCATACTGAATTTAATGAGTAGACGAAAGTTAAAGCATTTGAAGGTCATCTCCACTCTCCAGCTTAATTAAAAAAAAGAAGAAGAAGAAGAAGGGACAAGAAAAAAGGCATAAACCAGAAAGCAAAAGCTCAGAGAAAAGGCATCTCCAAGCCAGTTTTAAGATATTGGAGACTGGATCACTCAGGATTTAGAGCTTATGGCAGGTCTTGGCAAGTTAGGGGACTCAGGAATCCACCCAGGTGGTATAGGACGGGGGCTGGTAAGAAGGGAACCAAGGGAAGGTTTGATTGTAGAACTTTCCAAGTGCGGTTTAGGTAAGTGGCGGTCTGTGCTGGATCTGAGTCTGAGACAGATCAAACTGATATTTCAACAGTTTGTAAAGCACTGGAGTTGAAAGAAGGAAGGTGACACACAGAGGATCTGCTGCTCCACGGAGCCTAGGCTTAAAGAATGCTAGATACATGCTAATTTTTATTGTAGTTATTAATGCAATATTTACCCAGTTTCCAGGACTCCACTCCCCTTCCATCTAATCCATCCTACACTCCCCTGACAGACAATTCTTTTAAAATCACCACTTGGCACACAATATCTCATAGCTCAAGCTCTTTCAGGGCACTGACTGACTGATTGACTGAGACAGAGTCTCGCTCTGTCACCCAGGCTGGAGTGGAGTGCAGCGGTGCTATCTTGGCTCACTGCAACCTCTACCTCCTGGGTTCAAGTGATTCTCAGGCCTCAGCCTCCAGAGTAGCTGGGATTGCAGGCACCCGCCACCATGCCCAGCTAATTTTTTTATTTTTAAAAGTGACAGGGTTTTACCATGTTTAGCCAGGCTAGTCTTGAACTTTGGCCTCAAGCTATCCACCTGCCTGGGTCTCCCAAAGTGCTGGAATTAGACTTGAGCCAACATGCTGGCCCCATTATTTATAATCACTGCCTCTCAAACTGGGATAAGAGTAGCTCCAAGGCCACTGACCTGAGAGACAGGTAGCTTTGAGATAAACCCAGGACAGCTCCTGTAAAATATTTAGGGACAAGCATTTTACATCAAAACAAACATGAGGATATTATAGAATACGTTAACCCAAAATATCAGAGACCAGTCTCATTAAATTTAGAAAGTTTATTTCGCCAAGGTTAAGGATGTGCCAGTGACGGGAAGTCCTGACAATATGTACCCAAGGTGGTTGGGGGTAAAGTTTTCTTTTATACATTTTAGGGAGACATAAGACATCAATCAATATGTGTAAGATGTACATTGGTTCGGTTTTGTAAGGCGGGACAACATGAAGTGGGGGCTTCCAGGTTCGAAGTAGATAAGAGACAAAAGGCTGCATTCTTTTGATCAGCCTTCCACTGAACACACAATTTAGTCTGGCTCAGTGAATCTGCATTTTTACATAAACAATAGGCCAGAGGGAGCAATCAGGTATTCATTTGTCTCAGGTGAGCCTCAGAGGGATGACTTTGAGTTCTGTCTTTTGTCCACAAGGAATTTCCTGTGGGTAAATTGTGAGCGAGATACGTAGCTTCTTAGCTATCTTATTTAGGAATAAAATGGGAGGCAGGTTTGCCTGACCCAGTTCCCAGCTTGACTTTTCTCCTGGCTTAGTGATTTGGGGGCCCTGAGATTTATTTTCTTTTCACAAATACTATAAAGGAGCTTGCTATGGACTGCTGCATCTTTGCCGCCAGGTACACTATATTGTACTTCAAGAAGTTTACTTCCTCAGGCATTGAGGCACCACCTTGTTAGAGTTTGGGAGGAGGCCGACAAATAAAGGTTAACAGCCAAACTCCTTGAGCTGGGCAGTTAGGACAGTTTTCCACTGGGCCCTCCAAGCCATTCTTCCACCAGGTCCCTGACCTGCAAAGGTGAGACCCCTTTGTTCTTTACCCCTTCCTGCTTCAGTTTTAGCCAAGCCATGCTGCACTTTTGAACAAGGCATCCCAGCTGTCACTTCCTCCAGCAGTTAATCCCTCTGTCCCTCAGTTTCCTCAACTGGATAACAGTAGGGTTGTCAGGAGGATGAAATGAGTTAATATGGGTAAAGGACTTAGAACAGCGCCTGGCTGGCAGTGTGCTCTCTGTACTTGATAGGTATTCTATCTTTATCTTCCCCTACCTGAATGTTGCCTCTTCTCTTGCCTATAAACCACTCCACTCTAAATGCACTTGTAGCGAATCCAAGCCCAAGGGATCCTTTGCTGCACCATCTGAGGAAGACCCCACCCCACTCCTTATTGGCCAGTTCAGATCCAGCTCATATGTAAACTGCAAGATGAAAGCCTGAGCATATGTTTTTGAGTCTATCCAGTTTGATCATGGAAACTGACAGATTGTCAGTAAGGACAACGAAATATAGCGGCATATTGGCCAGTCTCAAATCCTTGAAAGGTGCAAATGTTAAAAAGTGAAAAGTTGGCCAGGCGCGGTGGTTCGCGCCTGTAATCTCAGCACTTTAGGAGGCAGACACAGGAGGATTGCTTGAGCCCAGGAGTTCGAGACCTACCTGAGCAACACAGCGAGACCCTCATTTCCACAAAACATGTAAAAATTCTCCGGGTGTGGTGGCGCGCACCTGTAGTCCCAGCTACTCAGGAGGCTAAAGGTGGAGGAACCCTTGAGCCCAGGAGGTCCAGGCTGCAGTGAGCGGAGATTGGGCCACTGCACTCCAGCCTGAGTGAGAGCGAGACGCTGAGAAAGAAAAGAAAAGAAAAGAGAAAGAAAAAGAAAGAAAGAAAGAAAAGAAAAGAAAAGAAAAGAGAAAGAAAAAGAAAGAAAGAAAGAAAGAAAGAAAGAAAGAAAGAAAGAAAGAAAGAAAGAAAAAGAAAGAAAGAAAGAAAGAAAGAAAGAAAGGAAGGAAGGAAGGAAGGAAGGAAGGAAGGAAGGGAAGGGAAGGAAGGAAGGGAAGGAAGGAAGGAAGGAAGGAAGGAAGGAAGGAAGGAAGAAAAGAAAAAGAAAAAGCAACGCAGGTTTTACCTAGCCTCCACGCCCCACCGTGCCCTCCCTTGCCCATCCAGAAGTCGCTTTGCGGTTCCACAGGCGGGCGTCTCACGCCCCACCTCAGGCCGCCGGAGGTGCAGCTTTGGGAGGATGAGATGGGCCCGGCACGACATGACCCCGGTACCTGCTCTACCTTTCAGAGTCTAGCAACCGCCTTTGGCCCATGTAATCTCAGCTCGCCTAATGCAGCGTGCCCCGCCGCTTTCCCGTGGCGACGGGCGGCGAAGCTACGGGAGCGGGCTCTACTCAGTTGTTTCGAGCCCCCCATGCCCCAAGTGAGTCGCAAGCGACTTCCACCTGGGCCCGTAGGGCCTCCGCGTCCCGGGCCGGTCCCCGCACAGGGCGGAGCCGACCCGGCCCGGAGCTCGCCCCGCCCCGCCTCGCAGTAAGCTGACCGTGTGGCGGCCGGGCGGGGGCCTGGCAGGGGAGAGAAGGGGAGGAGAAAGGAGAGGAGGAAAGTGGAGCCTGGCGGGACGGAGGGAGGAAGGGAAGGGGCGGAGGCGAGGGGCAGAGTGTGCCGGCGCGCGGGGGAGCCTCGGCGCGGGGCGCGTCTCGGAGCCCAAGTCGCGGTCCCCGAGTGGAGCCAGCCCCTGCCCTGCCCGGAGCCCCCCGCCGGGGCCGTCCCGAGCGGCGAAACCCTAGGCGTCCCGGCCCGCCATCCAGGGCAGCCGCCGTCCCGGGACTCGGCCGTAAGCGCTGCGGAACAGATGGTGGCGGCGGGGCGCGGGCCAGCGCGGGCGCTGTGAGCCGTAGCTGCGCACGGGGCATGTGGCGGCGGCCCCCGGCCCTCGGCCCCCGCGCTCCGGCCCCCGCCCGGGCCCCGGCCGCCGGCCCCCGCGGAGTGCAGCGACCGCGCCGCCGCTGAGGGAGGCGCCCCACCATGCCGCGGGCCCCGGCGCCGCTGTACGCCTGCCTCCTGGGGCTCTGCGCGCTCCTGCCCGGGCTTGCAGGTAAGCCGCGCCGCCCACGGCGCCCAGAGAAACTTTGTCGCGCACACAGCCGCGGGCAGGCGTCTCAGAGGGGCGGGGAGCGCAGGCAGTGCCTGAGGGCAGAGGGCGCCTTCAGGGCACTCCCTGGTGGATGGACCAGTCACCAAGGGACAGCCCCGCGGGGCCGTAGTGAATCTCCTGTCCCCCTCCCGGGCTGAGGAGGAGCTTCCCTTCCTGTGTAAACAGCCTGGCCGGCCTGCTGACCTAGCCCGCCAGCCCCGTGCCTAGGGCACGGGGAGGACTATCGCCGGCCCTGCCTTGGGGCCCGGGCTCTCCGTTGGCGGGCACAAAGCGGTCCTTGTGGCCGGCCAGGAGCGGGCGGGCTGCTGGGGGGGATGCCGCCGGTGTCCTGTTCCCGGGGAAGCAAGGGAGTCTCGAAACCCCAGCCAAAGCCCAGGGCCACCTCCACTCCTGAGGGCTCGCCTCCTGGGACTGCGGGTGCACAGGGCCCACCGCGAATCCTGGAGTTCTCTGCGCCTAGGCTAGCCGCCTTCATTTGAAGATGCAGACCCACTTCCCCACCCCACCCCGCCTGCTTCCGCCTCGCCTAGGCCACCGCAAACCCGAGGGGGCACCCGCGTCCCAAACCACAGCCCCACCTGGGACTTCCCTATTAGATTCCTTCTGCCCGACTTTATCCCGCGATTTGCACACGCTCAGAGCCTCACACTCCCCTAACTGTGACGGATTCTGGAGTAGAGGACAGGGGCTGTGGAGATTGCCTTAGCCCAACGCTGCCATGGGCTGACGGCGGTGCGAGGATCCCTCGGTTACCTGCTCTTAAGTTTTCAGGGTTGGGAGATGACTGGAAGTGGCAGTTCGGAGGCCCTCGAGGAAGGATGCACTTGTTTGGGATGCGGACTTTCTCCCTTCCTTTAGGAAATAATAGTGCTCTATTCACTTTGGAGCCGGAGATACTTGATTGTTCTTGTGAGCCAAGTGGTTGCCTGGCTGCCCAAGGGGAGGACTGTTCCCCCCGCCCCGTGTCTCATTTACATGAAGGCAGTGGAGGTTTAGGTTTAAGAGCGGAGGAGGGGTCTGAGCAAACAACAACTTCGTTCAGACCCTAATTCAAACTTAATACTGTAGCAAGGTTTTTGTTTTTTGTTTTAAATGGGAAAATAATCACTCCAGAGCTTGGAGAGTAGATGAGTGGATTCCAGACACCCATCCGGCAGCCAGTGCCCATCACGGATAGTTTCATGGGTCCCTCGGGAAAGCGAGCAGAAGGAAGATGTAGCCCACATCACACAGGAATGTATTGTTGTGAACGCTCCCCTGCTCCACAAGGACTTTCCTTTAGTTTGAAATTAGGCACTTTTTCTTTTTTGGTGGGAACATTTTCTTTTAATACTTTTAATAATGTTAGTAGTTTTTAATTTTGGCAAAATAAGAAAATCTGGCAACCCTATGTTAAGCTCCCCTTCTCATTTTCTGTTTGTTTCTTTTGTTTTGTTTTTAAATCTTAGTTTTCTTTGAAATCCAAAAGTTTGGAAACTGCCAAAGGAGATGGCTTCTAAGTTCCTCTCCAGCTTGACATTCTGTAATTCTGACAAACAGAATTATAATAATAATTTCCAGTTGCAAATAATTTTTTTTTTTTTTTTTTTGAGTCAGAGTTTCAGTCTTGTAGCCCAGGCTGGAGTGCAGTGGTGCCATCTCGGCTCACTGCAACCTGCACCTCCCAGGTTCAAGCGATTCTCCTGGCTTAGCCTCCCAAGTAGCAAGGATTACAGGTGCTGCCACCGTGCCAGGCTAATTTTTGTATTTTTAGTAGAGACAGGGTTTCACCATGTTGGCTGGGCTGGTCTTGAACTTCTGACTTCAGGTGATCTAACCGCATCGGCCTCCCAAAGTGCTTGAATTACAGGCATGAGCCACCGTCCCTGGCTGCAAATAATTTCTAAAAATACATTATTTTCCACTTGCATCGTGCTTTCTGTTTTTCAAAGTTCACGAACATCTTCATGGTGATGTCCATTTTCTCATATGGGCTCAGGAAGGAAGTGACTTGCCCTTCCCCTCTACTTGGGTCAGGAGTGGCGGACCAGGGACCATGGCTTTTGGTCCAGTGCCCTCTGTCCTACCTGACTCAGCTTAGGGAAGAGAAAAGCACTGAGCATGGTGGTTCATTTGCAACTCTTTTGGGGTCCCGTTTTCCCATTGCCCATCCTTTTTTTTTTTTTTTTTTTTTTGAGACAGAGTCTCGCTCTTGTTGCCCAGGCTGGTGTGCAGTGGCATGATTTCAGCTCACCACAACCTCTGCCTCCCAGGTTCAAGTGATTGTCCTGCCCAAACTTCCTGAGTAGGTGGGATTACAGGCATGCACCACCACACCTGGCTGATTTTGTATTTTTAGTAAAGACGGGATTTCACCATGTTGTTCAGGCTGGTCTCCAACTCCCAACCTCAGGTGATCCACCCACCTCGGCCTCCCAAAATGCTAGGATTACAGGCGTGACCCACCACACCCGGCCTCTGCCCATCTCTTTGACTACAGGTTTTGGTGATGGTGCTGGTGGTGGTGGAGCAAGCCATGGCACTGGCCTCCAGAACTTGCTGCCTACCTCTTAGGGCTCTGAAACTTCTCAGGATTAGCAGAGGTTGACTCACATCTGTGTGATTTCTCCTAGTTTCTCAGTGTTGCTGAATTAACTTCAACATTCTCTCTCTTTTTTTTTTCTTCCCTTCCCTTCTTTTTTTTCTTGAAGCACTACAGGTACTTTATTCAGGGTGTGTTTCTGTATTGCTACTAGGAACATTATTATTTGAAAGAAAAAAACATAGTTACTTAGAGAAAAGAAAGAGATGACCCTCAGGGCCATGCCTGCCTGGGTGTTCCTGGACCGGTGGTTGAATGGCTCTCTCTGCTGCTCTAACCTCCTTTCATCTCGGTATGGATTTCCAGCCCGAAACCTTAGGTTTCAGGGGCTCATTTCCAACAAGTCCCTGGCTGACTGACAACCCCCTCCCATCCCTACCAAGGGCTATCTCCTGTTCTCTCTATTATCTTACGCCAAGAGCCTTCAGACAGAATCCTAGGACATGGTCTTCCCCCAAAACCAGGGGTCTCACTGAGGTGAGGCTTTTCCATGCTGCCTTTGCTAAGAGAGAGAGAGGAGCACCATCTTATAAAGAGGATCCTGCAACACCACTGGAATTATGTGTGCTATCACATTCATTTCTTTTTTAAAAAGCAATCAAATGTTCTTCTGGTGAATGCTCTGCACATCCTAAGACAGCCCTTTGTTTTATTTAGTGGACTCATGTTGGCAGCACCCTTCCTCTACCCCTCACCCCCTACCACATTTCCTGTGGTCTGTGATGGGGTTGTTGGAATTTGGCTGGGTCTGCAGCTCTCTGTAGGTAACCAGACACAGGTTTAGAGCTGACAGGACAATGAAATACAAACAGTGGGTTTGGTCTGTAGACTGCTGTTTATCCTATGGATTTACATTTTAACTCCATCATCCTTAAGTTGGGGGAGCTTTTTATAAAGGGGATTGAGGCAGAAGAGGGCAGGGTCTAATTAGCTCTAATTAGTATTCCCCGCCTGCTTGTTCTCCATGCTTATTTAGCTACTGAGGCAACGGGGAATTGAAATGTCTAAGTAGTTTGGCAAAAGGCCTTTTGTGCCTGCGTGCCCTGGTAACTAGTTTTTCTTCTTCAGCCTGGCCACGGAAATATTCTGAGATGCTTTAACGATATCAGTAATGTGGGACAATTACACACTACTTAAATAATAGGGCCCCTTTCACATGGCAGTGTGCAGCTGGGTTAATGGGATAGGGTCTCTTTTCACAGGTATTTCCAGTTGGCTGGAGCTGAGGGCCTTGGAGAACTGACTGCCATGGTTTGTTTTCCTTCTTTCCGGTTCGAATGGGATTAATGGCCTCTATAAATGTAAAGGAATGCTTTATTTAGAGGTGCCCATTTGTTTCTGAAGCTTCTTGCTTCCGTTGAATGCAGGGTTTGCTTCCCGGGCCTTATGGTGAAAAGTTTGCTTCAAGACAGGCTTGACTCATCCCCTAAGGCTGATGCTTTGAAGGTACTGCAGGGTACCCTGCGCTCTCTTTATAGGATTCCCTCCCCAACTCCAGCCAGACATTTTCAGAGCTGGTTGTCTCTTGCAGAGCTGGGACCTACTTCCGCAACTTGTTCCCTTTAGTTATTCTCAACTCTTACTCAGCGTGATCCTGAGATCCAGCTCAAGTCAGATCATGTCTCTCTGCTTAAAACCTTCAAATGATTTCCCAGAGTCCTCCCAGGCTCCACGAACTCCCCACTGACTTCCCTGACTTTCCTTCACCACTTTCCCTTCAAGTCCTTTGCTCTAGCAGCATGGGCCTCCCACTGTCCCTCCAGCGTGCCAGTCATGCTCCCATGGCAGCCCTTCTCCCTGCCTATAATACTCTCCTGCAAGATATCTGTATGACTGGCTTCCTCCACCCTGCAACCCTTTTCTTATCGTCTCTTGCTCAGCCAGGGTTTCCCTGGCCGCTCCCAGCTAAAGCTGCAACCTCCTCCCTATATCCCGCGTTCTTTTTATCTGCTTTCCTTCTTTAATTTTTGTCCTTAGCACTCATCACCATCTAATGTAACTACATATCTTGTTCACTATTTCCCCTAAGTAGAATTCTCCCCCAGCCAGGATGTGAGCTCTGTGAATAAGGGAGTCTTGTTGGGTTTATTCACCTCTGTATCCTCCATGCCTAGAACAGCACCAGGCACATATTTGTTGATTGAATAATGGATGAACCTGAGTCTTGGTAATTGGGAGGTGAAGAGGGCAATGTATGCCGTCCTCAACTCCCTGTTGCCTTCTACAGCTAGCTTTGAAGTCAGGGACTATGCATGTGGCTTGCTAGGAAGAAACATCCTGGGAGAAAGAGATTCTGTTGGAATGTGTCAGGATTTTTTTTTTTTTTTTTTTTAAATGGAGTCTCACTCTGTCGCCCAGGCTAGAGTGCAGTGGTGTAATCTCCGGTCACCGCAACCTCTACCTTCCAGGTTCAAGCGATTCTCCTGCATCAGCCTCCCGAGTAGCCGGGAGGGAGAGGTTGCAGTGAATTAAGATCACACCACTGTACTCCAGCCTAGGCGACAGAGTGAGACTCCATCTCAAAATAAAATAAAAAAGAAAGGGAAAAAGAAAAGAAAAAGTACATATGTAAAGGTTTTTTTAAAAAATTGAGATAGAGTCTCTCTCTGTCTCCCAGGCTAGAGTACAGTGGTGTGATCTCAGCTCACTGCAACCTCGGCCTCCAACGTTCAAGTGATCCTCCTGCCTCAGTCTTCCAAGTAGTTGGGATTACAGGCATGTGCCACCACACCGGGCTAATTTTTTGTATTTTTATTAAAGATGGGGTTTCACTATGTAGGCCAGGCTAGTCTTGAACTCCTGACCTCAGGTGATCTGCTTGCCTCAGCCTCCCAAAGTGTTGGGATTACAGGCATGAGCCACTGTGCCGGGTGTCTTTTTTATTCATTCATTAATTTATTTTTTAAAAGACAGAATCTCGCTCTGTCACCCAGGCTGGAGTGCGTTGATGTGATCATGGCCTACTGCAGCTTGAACTCCTGGGCGCAATTGCTCCTCCCACCTGGGCCTTGCAAAGTGTTGGGATTACAGAAGTAAGCCAGTGTGCCCGGCCCTTAAAAAAAGCCTTCTAAGAATTGAGAAATCCAGAAAAATTGAGAAGATAGTACAAAGAGTTCCCATCTACCTCACACCCAGTTTTGCCTATTATTAACATCTTACATTAGTATGGTACCTTTATTATAATTAATGAATCATATTGATATGTTATTATTAACTAAAGTCCATCAGTTTAGATTTCTTTAGTGTTTACCTAAGTCCTTTTTCTGTTCTAGGATCCCATCCAAGATACTACAATACATTGAGTTGTCATGTCACCTTGGGTTCCTATGGCTGTAACAGTTTCTCAGTCTTTTCCTTGTTTTTTATGACCTTGACAGTTTTAAGAAGTACTGGTCAGATATTTTGTAGATCATCCCCCTCTTGGGATTTGGCTGTTTTTCCCATGATTAGACAGAGTTAGGTGGTTTTGGAAGAAGAACATAAAGGTAATCAATTGCCTTAAAAAAAAAAAAAAACTTTTGATAGGTA